GTCGGAGGTCGTGGGTACGATTCCGCACCCAGGAGAAATATTGTGTGGTGAGCATGGTCATTTGTTCTGTGTCTGGGTATAATTTATACATAATATGTATGTATTTATAAATATATAAGTATGTTTATCAGCAGTCTGGTTATTATAGAACAGGCTCTGCCTAGTTTCAGAAAAGTCCTAGTTTCCGTCTTTTTCTAAAACTAGGCAGAGCCTGTACTGGATTATGATGATATTATTAAAATAACTCGACACATCAAACATACGACCATCCTAATCCATCCTAAATGGGACCAGAGTGCCGATGAACATACCTTAATATTTCTAAATGTATAATATACTTAACTTTGTTGGGATGTTTTTCAGTCTCTTAAGATCTTCGAGTTTTTACGTGGAGCGACTGCCATTAGCATTGGCTTACATCCACATCACAAGTACTAGGCGATATCGAAGTTTTGTAGATAGACTATTATCGGACAAGTTATTAGAATTATTATATTGTCTTTGTGACTAGCCCTTATGTGCCACACTCGGTATATTTGTAAATAGCTAATGATAGCGTAAAGCTACGAAATACCGCTATATGCAAAGTATTGATCGCTTGTAATCTAATTCCACGCAAATTAATCAAATCAATTACAATGAATCCAAGCCATAAATAAGCTACCTAACCCCATCAGATAACAATAAAATATGATATTTTTACCAAAACGCGATCAACGATCTAAACATGAACGTTCCTATGCGATCGTTAGCATTATTGACGGATAACTGGGCTACAAAAAAATCGGAAAATCGCAACTAACATAGATCGCCCAGATTTATGCGTCCTATAACGATTTATTAGTCAGCGTACTCATGAATTTGACGCGAACCTTGTTTTTGTCTCGATATAAACGCATGGCAGTGACGTCACATGCAAAATATGGCCGCGCTCGACGGTCGCAATTTTATTGCTTAAAATAAATAAAATTGCATCAATGGAATCGCTTGCCGTGTTATGGATGGAGATTGGTGTTTGTTATTTTGTGAAAAGGCATTACTATGTAGCTGATTGTGCTCCAAATAATAAACATTGTATAGGCCTGTTGTTCAACAATTACGAAGAATAATAACTCTATATATTAATAAGGGGAGAAAATTCTTTGTATCTATATAACGAAAACATAAAGGACAGCTAATTTTTTTGAATAATATGTGCTATAAAGTTAAATAATATATCTGTGTTGTGACGGATTAAGAATACGGAGTGTCACCACCACTATTTATCCCGTGGAAGTCTTAAGAGCCGACTAAGGAAGCAAACTACGCCGGACAACAGCACTATAAAGAGAAGAAGAACAAACCCTGTTACCAACTCATCTGGCCAGCGTGGTATAGTAGGCCCAAACCTCTAAGGAGAGGCCCAGGACTAGCAGTGGACTATTTAAGGCTGTTGTGTCGGTCTTGAGGATAAAGTTAAAAATTAACAGCTTTATAAATTTGTAAAGGTTGTGAAAGAAATTAAAAACGTTAAACGTAAAATTAAAGGCAATTTTAATACTATCTTAAGTAATTTTATTGCCCGAGTTTATGAAATACTTTATTTTAATCAAAAGTATGTACTTAATTAAATCAGATTATCTTTTAATAACATCGAGGGGTCCGTTGCTCTAATGGATTTCCACCCAAGACAAAATACTGTGTAATGAGCACTACCACCTGTTCTGTATCTAGAAGTATAAAAGTATTAGTAGTAGAAATAAAAAAGTTTGAAAAAATAAGTACTTTCACTTATTGCATACAAAACGGCATTTTTATAGGTAAATACCTATTATTATTACCTATTTTGAGATTCTCAAACCTCATACTTCAGTTATTCCAGTTTTGATGGGGTATTGGTATTGGTGGTGGACTCCGATTTCTGCACTTAGACTCAGGGTAGGTTCTCTATTTATTTAGGTTCTCTAAATTTCGTTATCTGGGGAACACTATAGTTAAAGTGTAATAAGTGTGACTTTGATGCCGAGATCAACAGCAGGATAAGTGCTGCAGCTGCAGCATTCGGAAAGCTGTGTTCCAAGGTCTTCTGCTCGCACGACCTCAAGTTGGCTACTAAAATCTCGGTTTATATGGCGATAGTGCTGCCAAACCTTCTCTACTCTTCCGAGACCTGGTGTGTGTATCGTCATCATATACGCACTCTCGACCGATTCCACCTAAAATGCCTGCGCACCATCATGAAGATCAGATGTTCCGATCGGGTGCGCAATTCCGAAGTTCTAAGACGCGCCAATGTTGGTTTCATTGAAGCATACTTGATGCTTCGACAACTCCGGTGGTGCGGTCACATATCACGGATGGCGGAGGAGAGAGTGGTGAAACGAATCTTTTACTCTGAGCTAGAGGAGGGCAAGCGAAAGCATGGTGGACAACTCCTCAGATATAAGGATGTTCTGAAGCATCACATGAAAAGATGCAACATAGAGCCCTCTCGCTGCGAGAGTTTGGCAGCACAGCGACCGGAATGGCGTGAGATTACGAAGAAGCGTATCCGCGAATTTGAGGAACAGCGTTTAGCTGACCTCGATGCCAAACGCGATGAGCTCAAAGCCCGTCCACTCGCCGCCATTCACTATAATTATGAGAGCGGCAAGCACACCTGCCCACTGTGCAAGGGAGTTTGCTGCGAAAATCGGCAAATAAGCCATCTCCGGGCGCATCAGCGCCAGGTCCTGTAAGGGGTCGAAATGGTCGCCATGGCCGAAATCGGTCGGATTACATCATCATCAGGTTCTCTATGCGTCGTCGTCGTTTTGATGGGGTTTAAGTACCTACATCATCACAACAGCCTATAATAGTCCACTGCTGGACATGGGCCTCTCCTTAGAAAATAGGTTTTAGCCTACAATATACAAAGTACCTAGACAGGTTATTATTTTTACTTTCGCCTTTAAATTACTTCCGTATAGATTTTGGAGAATGAAGCCCTCTTCACAAACTGCATCAGCTAAATATTTATTATGCTACAAATATAAACAAAAGCTATTAGTAGAAATTATTGTATGCATAAAGATGTGTATATTTTCCAAGTCAGGGTTAATAGTTTTCTTATTATACTGGATAATATTATTCAAAGAGATCTTATGTAAATATTCCTACTTACTATATAGGTCACAGCTGTACATAATTTGTATCATCTGCACGACTCAGCTTTCTAATACATTTTTATACATCCTATAATATTTTAGTACTGGAGGCCCGAAGTTATAAAATGTTAAAGACTTCTTTCATATTTGCTCGTTCTTTACCCTTGTAATAACTAAAAATATGAGATAGTACTCTCATATATATTTCTGAACTATTTCAAACATCAAATTCAGCCTTTAAATCTTTAGGAAGCAGAAGTTTCTTATGAATTTCTATGTTATTTTATTTGGGAACGGATTTTGAATCTTCACAAAAAAAAGGGAGCCTCCCTAGACCGGGCAAAGTTAGAATAGTTGAATGATTGCCGATTGTCTTAATGAAAGCTGTCCCCGGACCCCTTATATTCGAGACGCAGTATGGCACTCCGTGTGGTTTTAACCGGCTCGATTCCGATGTAACGCCCCACCGCAAATTCCGATGGGGTGATGGCCCGATGAGGTTACCAAAATACTACTAAACAGAGCCTTTGCTGTGGTAAAGTGATTGCTCACGAACATGCTAAAATATTTATAAATATAAATATATTATTGATAAATTACACCCAAAACCTGAAATTATGTATGTGTATACCAATCTGTATGAGGACTTTGTATGTATGGTTTGACTTCGCTAGATGATGTGAATTATATCTTTGCGATATTTTTAACCTTTTTTTTTTTAAGACTACTCGCGCGCTATATATATATCCTGTGTCGCAGGGACTTTACAAACATACACAAAACGGGCACAAAGAACATCCAGACTCATCAACAGCCTTTAATAGTCCACTGCTGGACATAGGCCTCTCCTTAGTAAGGAGGTTTTGGCCTTGGTTTGTGTCAAGTTTTCCTTGTCTTTGCCGTGCTAGTTGTCCTACGTTAGCTCCCTTTGTCGCCTCTTACGACACCCACGGTATGAATAGAGGTGGTGACACTCCGTATTCTTAATCCGTCACCACACGGATCAGACTCAGAACGACAATTTGTGGATCATACAAAGTGTCGTCCCATCCACAACACTGAAACGGGAAACGGCGTGGTGACCGCTTTAATCACTACACCATCCTTGCAGTACCACATTTTGAAGTTATTATTCAGTATATAGAAGTGTATATAAGTTGTTATAGAAGAATATTTCGTTGTTGAGTATTCAAAGGCAGACAACGTGGTTTTTGAGTTGAAAGTGTCAATAGGCGGTGGTACGCACTTACCATAAGGTGACCCGCCTGTTTCTTTATACCCCAAGAAAATATTGGTATAAATGTTTTATACTTTTTTTTATTTATTTAAATTTTGAGCACATTTGATAATTAGGCGAACTTTACAAAGTAGAATACAACCAAATGAAAGTGTCATCATATAAGACACAAATGTTCGTTCTTAATTGTAAAGTATTAATGTCACATGATTTAACTTACGTACTTTATGTGCCCCGTGGTGTTACCCGCGGTTGTCGTTGTATCTTAATTCTCCCATGGGGACACTATATTTTTTCGGGATATCAGTAGCCTATGTGCTATTCCAGACTACATTCTAGGTTAAATTTCACTCAGATCAGTTCAGCCGTTTTTGCGTAAAAGAGTAACAGACATCCAAACATCCTTATAAACTTTCGCCTTTATAATATTAGTAAAATTACAACAACTTATATCATTAATCATATGGTTCAAGAAAGCTTTCATAAATTCTTCTTGTTAACTACTCCGTTACTTAACGTAAGTACGTAATTGCTGGATTAGATTAATTGTGTGTATGCTCGACGATTAAAAGACAATTTAATATTCTATTCAAATTAAAAAAAATGTTTTTTTCTTCAACAGGCCAAAAAGCGGCTCCATGCTGCTGTACAGTCGCAAGAAGGTTCGCTACCGGCGTGACGGCTACTGTTGGAAAAAGAGAAAGGATGGGAAGACCACCAGAGAAGATCATATGAAGCTCAAGGTTCAAGGAACAGAGGTGAGTACTGTTTAAGAGTACCTAATTATTACTATAGATACCACTGCTAGAGATTGTTTTAGTCTACCACCTTTCTGAAAATCTTTAAACACCTTTTAAGGGTTGTCATTACCTTTAATGTCGATTTGTATTCTATTGAACAAAGTAGTTCTAGCTTTATGTTCTAACAGTAAAAGATTATTGGTGATTATTTCTGTAACATAATTTAATTGTTCTACAAATCAAGTTCAGGCTGTTAATGTCCATGCCCTAGGTCTCTCGGATCATAAGACATACGGTTAAGCGAGGTCAGTCTCTTCGAGCTACGGCAGTCTAAGTTCTATTTACTATTGGAAACTTACCATATTCATTACGATGGCTTCCTGGCCCTAGCCGTTTTCCTTACCTTAATTTACCTTATTCCTTTCTCTCGTCTGGAAAGACAAATTTTCCGAAGGTGAGAATGCGTCAAGCATGATGCCGGCCATAAAAGACATTGGCCAAAACCGTTTGCAATGGTATGAGTAAAAATTGCGACAGAATGGGACTATATTTGTCATATCACAACACATCAACAGCCTATAATAGTCCACTACTGGACATAGGCCTCCGCTTACAAAGGAGATTTTTTCCTACTACGAGTATGCATTGTTTCAAGTTTTCCTTCTTTTTACAGTCCTGCGTAGTTTGCTCCCTTAGTCGGCTCTTACGACACTCACGGGATGAATAGGGGTGGTGATATTCCGTACTCTTAATCCGTCACCACACGGATTTGTCATTAACCTTAATTGACCTAAATGATTATGTATGGCACACTATCTGTTTCGAGCTTCTATTCATAATAATACTTTTTTGCTGAAATTCCACGAGTAAATTTTGAAAAATATCGAAGCTCCGCAAAACACAATTAATAAAGTTCATTCGTTAGAAGTGATTTAACCACAACAGAGGTCACGCCAAAAGACAGACAGCATGAGCGATGGTTCAAAGGGAAATTAAAGAAAGCTAAATTGTTGTTCACTTTTGAACGGTATTTTGAAACTAGACTTGAAATTCGGGGATTTCAAACCGCTTGACGTAGAGAGACTTTGGAATCACAAACGGATGGATACAAAACTAGGTCACCGAAAAAAGCATATCATGTTGAATATAATTACTTAATATTTTTAAAGGTGCTGCCACTATATAAAAGGTAGTTGATAAATTTATTTGTGTTCTCGAATAATTTTATTTGTATTAAAAAAATTATCGTGTTCAATAACGAACTTGTAAAATTTTCAAAATGTAACTATTTTGTGAGTCAAAAATGTTTGTAGGTTACAGACACTTGATTTTTTGTGTGTACATCATCTTTTTTTTATTTATTATTGGTGTACCTACAAAAAGTAATAAAAAAGAAAAAGATACTGTACACACAACTTTAGGAAGAACTTTAGAAATGCCGCTTTGTACGATCTCAGTATCGTACATACAAATAGGTTTAATTTTTTACATATAGACTAGCTGACCCGGCAAAAGTTGTTTTGCCTAAAAAAAAAATTTAGGGATGGGTCACCCTTACCATTTAGGGGTATGAAAAATAGATGTTGGCCGATTCTCAGACCTACCCGATGTGCACACAAAATTTCATGAGAATCGGTCAAGCCGTTTCGGAGGAGTACGGGAACGAACATTGTGACACGAGAATTTTATATATAAGATGAACTTGTCCACACGCTGGGGCCTACTTTTGGCTGCGCGTTATTATTATTATAAAAACATTAATTAAACCTTTATAAGTGAGGACGCCACCAACCATTAGACTTAGAAAGCACAATCAAGGAAAGAATCGCTACTCTATACATTTTTATATACTTTACTTAAGTATACTTACTACGTTTGGCAGTCTTTATGCCGTACTCAATAAACTACCAACTACTCAACTACTAAACTATAGTGTACAAGCCAACTGGCCTGTATACGCATTATGCGGCATAAAATTTAAAAATAATCAGTTTTCTTTAAGTTAAGACGTCAAATATGAAATAAACTCTGTACATCTCTTGTGAAGTACTGTGGTTCAGTGCAAGTTGCAATAACGAGCAGAACAACCAGTTAATGTAACGATACTCGTAGGAAATGTACTAAAACCTTTGGTATTTAACTGGGCATTTTGCAACGTGTCGTTACCATGCAAGTTTAAAATGTTTTAGTGACGTCAGGAGAAAATACACACGTCAACAGAATTAGCGGTACACAAAAAAGGGGTATATATAAAATAGTTAATTTTATTTTAAAACTAATAATAAAAAGCCGTGTGGTGTCGTGGGACATCCGATAGGAACGAAGTTGTGACGATCGAGTAAAACTGATTCGACACGATTTTAATTACAACGCCATCTATGAAAGCGGCTATTACATATTTTTCAGTTGGTTTCTAATTAAAACAATTTATATATTGGTAAAATCTCCTTGAGAAATGATTTCCTATCTATTCGATAGATGGCGCTGAATGACTGACAAGTGACAATTCAAAATAAATACTGAGATGAAAAGTAATGATTTCCTATCTATTCGATAGATGGCGCTGAATGACTGACATAAAAAGTCGTTACAACTTTTCGTGAGAATTTTTTCCGTCTAGCCCCCTTTCACAACGCGCGATAAGGAACTTCGTTCCAATTAAACATGAAACAAAAATTAAATTAATATGTTTTGACATTAATTTGCAACACCATGCTTAAAGTTTATTGACAAACAAAACTAAAGTAAACAAAATGCGTTTTTCTAAGATTTCGTAATGACAGATAAACAGTTAAAAAATTAAGATTTTGTGATGGTTTACAATTAATTAAATAAATGTTTAATATCTAGTGTTTCCCCCGTGCTCTGATTATGGTTTCCATCCGTCTGGGCATGCTGCGGATGATGTTGTCAATGATTTCTTGGGGCAACCTCTGCCATTATTCAAGTAATGCGTTTCGCAACTCGCCCAGATTGTTGGAAGGTTTCATTCTTGATTTGCTGGCCACACCATCACCGTTACACGTCGATAGAGATGTATGAATTAAAAAAATTAAAAGAAACGAATGAAAAAAAAGACTGAGAGCGTTAGTTCTGTTTTCAAATTAGACCTAAAATTAAAAAAAAGTAATGTAACCGCCCAGTGTTACCAATAAAATACATTAATTCTTCCTTTTTTTGTGTTCCGCTAATTCTGTCGACGTGTGTAGTTTAACAATTTCCTGAAGAACTTAATAAAATCGAAACATAATATCATACATTTTAATATTTAAAACTTAACTTATTAACATTCGTATGTATGTATGTATGATATGTAAATGAAACAGTCCATATGTAGTACATGTCCATATTTACATGCAAGTGTCTAAAAATTCTTCGATATCGTTGCCTATAAAAACTGTGGACAGTATCAACGTTATAACTTCTTCTTTGATGGTATCTGTAACGTCAAAACTGCTGAACATTAAACCTAAAATGGTAGCAGAATAATAAATATCTCAAGTTTCAGGCGGTGGATCGTAACTTTGAGATTTTAAGCTCAAACCTGTTAACTACAACGTGAAAACAAGCAAATACCTACAAGCAATACATAAAAGAATGGCTAAGAGGGTACTAGACATAGGTGCACATGGGTTTGTAATAAAATAACTATTTAAGTTTTAGATGCCAACATTAATAATAATAATAAAATTTTCGGTAATCTGACACACAACGCCATTTAGTTATAAACTAAGCAGAGCTTGTGTACTATGAAAGCTAGATTTACTTATAGAATACCTTTACTATTATTTATAATAAAATTTTCGGTAATCTCACAAACAACGCTATCTAGTTATAAACCAAGCAGAGCTTGTGTCCTATGAAAGCTAGATTGACTTATAGAATACCTTAATTGTTATAATTTTTTTTTAATTCATATTATACATAGAAAACATCCAAAGTCCGAAAAAAAATAATTGCAGATCATACAAACATTTGGTCCGACGCGGGAATCAAACCCGAGACCTCAGAACAGAGTCTGAGCTAAACACTATGAATCATAGTACGAGTGTTAATGACTTGGTAAATATCTGAATTATTTTAGTGACAGTATTTTTTTTATTTACACAAAACTTATCGAAAACCAAACACGATTTTTGATAAGATTATTTTATCTCTTAGTGACTTCTTTTGGCACACCTTGAAAACCGCTTAAATACCGGCAATGAATAGATACTCCAATTATTTTGGAGTACAATTTATTAGTAAGCATTTCCAAGTTTCTTTAAAAAAATCGGAGAAATAATGGTTTTAAATTGCTATCCATAAACAAATAAATTACCCACATGAATAATACTGTAAAATATAAAGTTTCATCTAATACGAGCTTTATACTATACGTTAATCACTTAAACAATATCTAGTACCACAAGATGCTCTAAGACATATGATAATAAAGTGCGTCTAAATACATATTTAGTTATAAAACGACAAGTAATAACACTTTGAACCCAAGATTAAAGTGACTATCATAACATAAATATAAAATTATTAATAATATATACAAAAAAATCTCCTAAAAAATTGTTCTAGATTTATCAAAAATAAAATTCAAGCGTCACTATTATTAAAGCAATTACTTTCCAAGTATTCTTTTATTTCGTACAAAATATAAGTAATAGTTCAAACAAGAGGTGTTTCTGTTATTCATACGCCAACCTTGGCGGGTGAAAAATGTATATAGCTAAGTAATTACAGTAGGGTTTCGTGAGCTGCCCTCAATCGGCTTGAATGTTTCAACTTTTTGTCAGATTATTTCTGTTTGACGGAAGTTTTCAATTAAGGTAAACATATAACCTTGCTAGATTAAGCACGGGAGGTGGCACTAAATGTCTGCGATATTATTAGTAGTCAACAATATAAAATAAACTTAGACAGCTTATGTGTTTTGACGTGACAACGTCTTATAAATTGGTTTGCCGGGTGACACTTTAAGAAACTGCGTTACGCTCCGCTCACGTTATGCGCTCACAATGAGA